CGGGGGTTGGGACCCCGAGAATGAAATAGAGAGCAGAGTTGAACAAGCCAGAAATGCTTTTTTGAGGCTTCATAAGTTTCTGACTGATCGCAAATTGGACTTCAACCTCCGATACAAGATGCTTAAGTGTTACGTGTGGCCTGTTCTCTTGTACAGAATGGAAGCATGGACGTTAAAGGCCAGTGCCATTAACAAATTTGAACTGTTTGAAATGTGGTGCCTGCGTCGAATGCTTAGAATATCATGGACGGCCAGGGTAAGACATGAGCAAGTACTCAGAAGAGCGGGCTTACAGGATAGGGAACTTTTTAGTTATGTAAAAAGTAAGAAGACTGCATACTTGGGGCACATATTACGAGGAGAAAGATACACTTTTCAGCAACTGATACTTGAAGGGAAGATAGAGGGTAGGAGAGGTCTGGGACGTAAAAAAATGTCATGGCTACGCAATATTCGACATTGGACAGGAATCCACAGCAATGAAATTCTTCGCAATGCTGCTAAAAACAGAATTATTAATCCTGACTATTTAACATCTCACCTGACAAGACGATGTACGGTGGATGGCTACGCAGAAATGCACGGCACCTTAAGAAGAACAAGAAGATACAGTCACAGCGGAAGAGTCCATTTGGGTACCTAACTAGTGAGTGGCCGTTAGGTATACAAAATAATAAAACTGACTAAAATATGATATTTTGATTTTTGAAATGTTCTATAATTTTTGTTCAGGAAACGTAAAAAAAGATCTTACTAACGAATGCGATAACGCATGAAAAAAGGTTAAAAAAGATACACATATAAAAAGTGCAGCTGAATAGAAATTTGATTAAAAATATTATCTTAACTAAATATTGTATTATAATAAGATGTAAAGGAAAACTATCAAAACCTATCAAATATGAAACTGACATTAGACAAGGGGATTCGCTGAGCCCATTAATATTTAATCTGATAATGGATGAAATCATAAAGAAAGTTAAAAAAAGAAGAGGATATAGAATGGGAGAAAAGGAAATAACTATAATATGTTTCGCCGACAACGCCGTAATAACAGCCGAAAATGAAGATGACATACAAAGATTAATTAAAGAATTCGAAGATACGGCGCTCATATACAACATGGTGATCTCAACAGAGAAAACTAAAGCGATAGTAATATCAGAGAGGAACCGAGACAATGTAAACTAGTCATAAATAACAAAATAGTCGAACAACTGATAGAAAATTAATACTTGAGAATAAAACTGTCAAGCTACAGTACTGTCAACACAATCTGGGGAAACAAAAACCATTATATAAATCAACAATAAGACCGATAACGACGTACACAGCGGAAACAAGAGCAGATACGGCGAAAACACAAAGACTGCTGGAAATAACAGAAATAAAAGTCTTACGAAAAATAACAAACCAAACTCTAAGAGACAGAGTAAGAAGTGAGGAAATACGAGCGAGATGTGGTATAGAGGAAATAAACGCGTGGACCAAAAGAACCAGAAGAAACAAGAAAAGTGGAATGGAAACAACACATCGACAGAATGACAGAAAATAGAATAGTACGAATAGCAAGAGACAAATCAAAAATGAGAGAAGATCCTTGGGACGACCGAGGAAAAGATGGTCAGACAACGTCAACTGAGTATAAAGTAGAAAGAAGAAGAAGAATAAATATTGGCATAAACACCTGTGACCTAAGAATTATTAGCAATCTTTACTGGAGAGCAATCTTTAAATCGTCTATCCGTACAGAGGCCGGAGAATCCAATGATATCAAAATCAAACGTGGGGTCCGACAGGGATGTATACTATGATGTTGCTGTTTACCATATACTGTGAGAAAATCTTTCATCCTGAAAAAATCCTTGAAAAACTGGGAACGAGGATTTTATACTTCGTCTATTGATAAAGACCATGAGGTTATTTTTGTAAAATGGAAAGACAATAATGTAGTAGCTGCAGCATCTACAAGTTTTGGTGTCAATCCGCTTGGTCAGGTAAAGAAATATAGTAAAATTCATATTATAAAAATGTTATCCAATCCCGAAAATGGTGGTAGTGTATATTTAGCTTTCTCTTAGATGCAGCGATTAATAATGCCTGGATATTATATAAAAAAAGTCACAATGACCAATTACCACAGCTAGCTTTACGACAAAAAACAAAAAAGAAAACAAGAAAAAACAAAATTCGTATGATGCAATAATTTTCGGAACATCAGCTTAAGGGTGGCCGCACACAGAAAGAGCAAAAACTGTTTTAGTCAAAAACGTTTTTGACTAAACGAGTCTGATGTTGATGATTCCATGTAAATGAAATGAGCTGACGTACACTGATTATTCGTGTGTCTAAAACCTGTTTAGCCTCATTTAGTTTCAGTCAGTCTGTTTGATGTTGATTGCCAGATCGTCGTTTTGTGTCGAAACATTTCAATGTACGCAGGCGCAACGTGTTTTTGAAATTCCCTTCTTGAAACCGCTCGAGTAGTCAACAAGAAGCACATGTGGAAAGCGATATTTGGCTTGTTTATATTGTGTGTATCATGGAAGTCGGCGCAGAAAAATTAATTGTACTGATTGAGGCCAGGCCTCCTTTATATAACTATCAATTAAAAGACCCTTAATTATTGGAGCAAAAACTGGAGAGTTTTTTTAGCAGTTCTTTTCTCATTTATAGGATACACCCAAAATTGTCCTTTAGTTTGCGTTTTTTCGTCCTGTAGGAGCAACCACTGCCAGAAAAACTAGTGCAATTTCGTCGTTATCTGTCGACATCTTTAATAAAACTGATTGCAGTATGATCTGTGCAAACATTTTGTTTCTCTTGAAAACAAAATGTTTCTTGTGGAAACAAAAACGTTTTCGTTTCAAACAAAAACGTTTTTGACTAAAACAGTTTTGCTCTTTCTGTGTGCGGCCACCCTGAGAGCTACATTTTAAAGTTATTTATAGAATAGGCAAAAAATAGAAATCAGCAGTACACAGTTTGGTTTTCGGAACGCAGTGGGTACGAGGGAGACTCTCTTTAGTGTACAAGTGCTATTTCAACGATATAGAGATGTAAATTGCGATATTTATGCATGCTTCATTGATTACCATAAAGAATTTGCTACAGTTAGTACAAGCTGATGGAGATATTAACAAATATATGTTTGAACTGGGATGTTAGGCGACCATATTGTCTGTCAATCTTTTATAATGGAAACCTAAACGGGCCAAAATATTTACAAATTTTACAAAATGAGATCATTCCGGCAGTTCTACGCCTTCCCGTTAATTCGGGTATTCGGCTCACAACTCTAAAGCAATTAAACTTTCTTCAAAGCAATTAGACTTCTTCAATCAAACGTTTCCTGATCGACTGATAAGTAAACGTGGTACAATTAAATGGCCCGCTAGATCCTGTAACTTAGGGCCTAACGATTTATTTTTTGGGGTTTTCTCAAAGAAAACATTTATGGGTACCAGTTTGAAAGGACACATACCTAGTCAAATTAAAAGCAAAAATAATGGCGGAACGTTTTCACTATTAAAGCCCTAGAAGAGGTAAATTTAGAATATATAATTTTGTATGTAAATGTTTTCCTATGTATTTTAATGTATTGCAGTAGTCTTAAAACTAATGCTCAGTTGCACCAACAGACTGTAAATCAACTGATTTGCTAACCGTCAATTGGACGATTTAAATCAACGATCAATGGTTATTTTTCAAACGAGTTGCACCATTCTAAAAAACTATTGGTTTACAAACCGACAATTTATACGTGGCAACATTGCACGAGTACAGATTATTTCGATTATTTCATTCGAATCGGAGATCGGAATCGTGATCTGTCAAAAAGATTGTCAACAAAGAAAGTTTTCTAAGGTTATGCCAATCCAATTGAACATTGAAATATTATAATAATATTGTTTTACTTGCAATTTTGTGTGTGTAGTGTGTATATAAGATGAAAAATAAAGGAAGACACTTCTCTATTAATTTTATTTCTTATTTTACACCGCATTATTTCTTCCTATCCTATAAATTAAATGTTCATGAAAACGTTCTAAAAGGACCAACACTGTTTTCTTGCTTACTCGATATCTAAAAATAATTAAAATGCATTTCTAGTCATTCAGATAAAATAATGATAATATATACCTTGCTTTAAATTCAACTTCATTATATTTATTATACAAGTATTGCGATCTCTTACATATCTTATATTTGGTAACATATGCATTATATCTTCTAAATTGTCAGAAGATGAACTCGACGACGACGATGATGATAAATCCATTTTTTTAAAATGTAATCTATAATACTTTAAATAAAAGATCTTTGCTAAAAATACTTTAATAATATAAACAGTGTAAAAGTGAGGTTAAAAAGAGTCGATTTTTTAAATAACTGTAGAAACTCGGTTGGTTACTTTTGACAGATCAAAAACAGTCAGTTCCAATCAAGTAATGGTTGGTGCAACATATTCCAAAATAAACGGGCAATCCAAATAAAAAAATCAATCGTTTATTTGTTGGTGCAACTAGACATAAGTGTATTTACTTTTAATATAATAGTTTGACAAATAGTTGACATTTTAAAAATTCCTCACTTACTAACTATTCTGATGTTTTGGCAACGCTGTGGGGTTCTGACGACGCAAATCTTTAATGACGTGCAAACTTCTTTATATGAAAAATGCTATAGGTTCTTAATTGGGTAGTATTTTTTATGTTTAATGTCTGGAAGAATTTTATTGTTTTTTGTTATTTAAAAGTACAAGCGATTCTTATCCTGATATTTTTTCTTGTTTCTTGTCTTACTTTTATTAGCTTTTTTCCATAAAATTTGTACAATTTTTAGTGACAAAAAAGCATATTACTTATTTATTTATTTGTGTTGCTATTAAGGCTAAAAAAATAACCAAAAAATTAGTTTTAGAGCATTATAGTATGTATAAGAAATAATATAAGAAAGCTAAAAAAACCTTTATATATTATAAAATTTAATTGTACAAAGTAGAATTTAAAAAAATATTTTAAAAAAACTTTAAAAATACTAAACTAGATTTTTTTCCGACCACCTAAATAGTTTTTTATTTAGTAATAAGCAAATCCCTTGAAGAAGTCACATTAGATAGCAGAGTTGCCTGCCCTGGATCGTAAGTCGATTCATATTCTGTTTTATTTTTAATTAAAAATGAAGCCAGGGCGATGATCGGATTAACAGGTCTTTCTTTTCCTAGATAAACAAGAGCACTCGTTAAAATAGGTACCACTGTTAGATCTAGATACTCTCTGGTAGGAAGAGACATTAAATCAGCAAAACTCTTTTTGGTAATCTCTGATTGATTTTCCATTTTTAAAGCAGCTTTAACAACTTTACAAAATGTTGGATTACCAGCGATATGACATATTTCGGCTGCAATTTCTGCTTCTGTTAACGTTGTTGGTTGATATTTTTCATCATTTTCTCTTTCACCGTTAGTAAATTCTTCGGATTTTGTTATAACGGGATCTGAACCAGATGCTATAGAATTATTCGATGTTGAATTCATTTTAAAAATAAATAGGTTTACAACTTTGACAACTATTTGACATAAAAACATGTATATTGGAACCGCATAGTTATTAGGTTTTCTACGTGCATAGCGGTCCAGTGGTGTCGCTTAGTTACCGCAAAATTACAAAAATAGATCCATACAGTATATTCCAATTTATCATCGAGTTAGAATCTATGGAGAAGCTATGATCATATTATTAACGTGTGTATTAAAAACGGCTTCAGTAGGTGTTGCTAACGATCATACCAATATGTCGGTGGGATCAGGGCCAGACTCAATATTCTTCTATTATATAAATATGACTAGTTAATTTCTGTTTTTGTCTACGGTTGAGTTTCGAAGCCGGGTTTGTTAAACTCAATGGGGTTCCCTCCTTTGGAGGTGTGGATTACCACCCGAGGATTAATTTTAAAATTTTTCATTTCTGCCAATTGTTGCTAGGTTGCTAACGCCTAACGCCATAACCCCCTTTTGAAGGACCTATTGTTCAGCCGCCCACTCTGGTTCAGACGCTGTCTGGAGCCGCCCACTCTGGGTTAGACGCTGCTATTGTCAGTTGGTCCGCGTCGGGTATTTCATTTCCCCGATACCACCCATATCTAGGAGGCGTTCCCCTATCCGCCACCTGGGGACGCGTCCGGTAGAGGACTGACATTGGACATTGGACACTGATATTTGTTTATATAAAAAAAAAGACTTCAATAACTTGAAGACGTTTATTTTGTTATAACATGAATTTAACAAATATTCGAAATACTTATCACGCATAAAAACTTAAACTAAGAAACATTCTGAAAAACTGAGTTATTTTGTAACTAGACTAAACTTATTCTGTAACAAAAATGAGGAGGAAAAAAATGAGGAACAAAAAAAATTTTTTTTTCTTTAAGCATAAACTTAACATTCAATCTAACCTACCAATTAAAAAAGAAACCAAAAACAAAAAACATCATATAAACTACAATCCATTCTTATAGGCAATGGAGGTCACCAGCTAACAATTATTATCAGACAAAATAGTCATAAATCAAATAGATTATATTATCGTCACCATAAGATATACAAATTCTATAAATATCATAAAAACTTATCCAGGAGCGAACATATTCTCCGATCACAAACCGATTGTTTTGTTGATAAGAGTAAAACCACCCTATACCACACAGATAAATGAATTTAAACCACTCTATCTCCAAGAAAATCATGGATACAAGGCGCTCCAAACAAGATAACACATATTCGCAAATGAAATTTTAAATAAACGAAAACTTAAGCAAAGTCAAAGCACATAATGCATAAACTCTAATTATTAACCAAAAATGAAGAAAAATTCAACATGCTCTTGTGTCAGTTGGAAAAGAAACCCTCAAACCACTTGGGGAAAAACAAAACCTTGGATAACAGTAGCAATTCTTGAACTTATGGAAAAACAAAGAAAAGATCAAATAAAAGACCCGAATAAATACAAAGAAATTCAGAAAAACATCAAACAGAATATTCAAGAGGCAGAAGGCAGATAGGCAAAAAGTATTAATTTATAGAAAAAAATCAAAAGACGTGTTCTAGAAAAAGCACATGAACGAATGTAATTAAAAATTATAAAGGAGATATTATTACCGATATGAAGGAAAGATTGTGTCACTGGACCAATTAAATCCAAAAGCTATTTAATGATGAAAGAGTAGAACTATCATTAGAAACCACAGATGATACCAGACCACCAGTAATTACGGGAAAAAGTCATCTATGCCATCAAAAACACAAAAGGGGGCAAAGCTACCGTATCAGATGATGTGCCCATCGAATTATTAAAACTCATTGATAGAGATGTTATTGATGTAATGGTTTTACTCTTTAATTTAATATATCAGACTTTCATGGATATAAAACAGAACATGTATTTATGTTCTGTAGATTTTAAAAAGGTATTTGGTAAGGTTAAACATAAAAAGCCTATAGACATTAAAAATCTAAAATTTTGACAGACTAGAAAAATTATATCTAATTTATATTGGAATCAAACTGCCAAGGTAAAAATTAAAAACCCAGAACACACGAGATATCAAAATACATAGTGGACTTCGCCAGGGTTGCGTACTATCACCACTACTCTTCAATGTCTACAGTGAAGGTATATCTATCAATGGAGAAGTTTTGAATACCTTGCATTTTGCAGACGATTCAGTAATAATGACGCATAACAACAATAATTTACAGAGCGTAATGCAACGACTTAATGAATGCTGTCATGAATACGGAATAAGGATGAATTTGAAAAAACTAAATGTATTGTCATGACTAAATCAGCAGATGCAAACATCCAATTGATTGTTGAGGATACTGTAATTGAAAGTGTGGCTGTCTACAAATACTTAGGAACATGGATAACATCAAATGTGTACCAAACCAAAGAAATTAATACACGTATTGAAATAGCAAGTGCATTATTCGTTAAACTTAAAAAGTCTGGTAATTATTTATATAATCTTTTCTTAATGTTGCTTATCTCTTTGTTTTAATAAATTTGTTGTGCACTTCTGATGGAGCCAACAGTTGTTGATTAATCAGTTGTTGAGTGACAACAACTTTTTGTCACAAAATGACAAAAAAATATAATTGTTTAAATTTTATACTCTTTTTAGACGCACTTGTTTTAATGTCCATGCTTCAGAGCCATAAAAAAAGTAGTGAATACGTAACATCGAAGCATTCTTAGGCATAGTCCTAATCTTATATCCCGATAACAAATAAACTTTTGGTAAAACTGTTCACACAAGAAAACAAGACAAACATTTGTACTACACTTTTACAATTAGGCTAACAATTGTAAATTATCATGAATGTGTTGCTTGTGTAAGTCCATTTCAAATAGGTAAAGAAATAATAAATAAGACTTACTCACAATCAATTTAATTTAACTATCAAACGACTGGTTTCGCTTTCTATAATTTGCAAAGCATCTTCAGGTCTCGATACAAAGTTAAATAAATGCTGAAATGATAAAAACCCATATTAGGGTGTTGTCTAATAAAGATAAACAAATTAGATGTTGTAAATTACAATAATTATGCCAATATTACATGTCTGTGGTTTTAATTTCAAAATGAGTAAGTTGAATAAAAAGGTATAAAAAGTTTTAAAAGTTTAAACAGACAAGGTAAGACCCACAAATTGTTATAAAATAGTCTATTAGATTGTAATAAAATAATAAATGAGCAAATAAATAAACATTACTTACATGCCGGTACTCTATTAATTAATGGATGGTAGAACATGGTTGAAACTACTATGTATTGTTGAATGGAGAACTCAATTCTGCTATTTTAGTTGTTTGACAGTAAACGGGAAGTTCTTGAGGAAATAGATTTGATCCAATGAAGCAGAGATATGTGTGTGATTGTTTGTTAAATGAAAGTGATGCTATATACCATTGTATTATTTAAAAGTTATTTATATTTATTCGAGAGATATATTTATGAAATGTGTGTTATATATTGAGTAATTGTTTTTATGAAGGTGACAGTTTTATGACAATGAATAAGTTTAGATGTACAAATTGTGTGGGTGTGCAATTATTTTTCAACTTGTAATTATCAAATTTCTTTGACAAAGTTCTATTTGCCAATACACGTTCACACTAATTTTTTTTACAAACAGTATTTTTTCTATTTATTTAAAAGTGTACGTCTTCCGTAATATTTATTACATTATCTATGTTATTCTATTAATAACTTATTTATACTCTAACTTCAGTTTTAAAAATTAGAACACCTCTTTACTAGAAAGTTTAGTTTTACAAGTTTGGGATAAGTCGTATGACGATTCTCTTTATCACTATACTAAAGAAATTAATGTCAAAATTTCAATATTTATAGTCTTCGTGGGTTCTTCAAGCAGGAAAAAAACAAATTTATATGGTGGTTAGACCTCTTAAAAGATTAATATAGAGTTTAATACCACATTATCCTTGCAGATAAGGGTTTTGTATTATAGTCCAGTTTGAATGGTAGTCATTTTAAAGGTAACACAACTATCTACTCCTACAATGTTTTCAGTTTAAGTAAACTGACTCTACCGATATATATATATATATATATATATATATATATATATATATATATAATATATATATATATATATATATATATATATATATATATATATAGATATTAAGGATCACTCGAAGAGTGGTGGGTTTTTCGGTCAAAAGGTGGAGAAAAAAAGACAAAGATGATGGCTACTTCATCTATTTATTGAAGACGTTTCGCTTTCTAATCAGAAAGCACCAACAGTTTATCTTAAAAAGATGTGTAGCAGTCAATGATATTAAAATTGTAAAGAAGCTTCTGACAATGGACATTAAAAGATTATGTTGTATCAACAATTAATTGAACTAAATATAGTTAACAATTTTTTTAAACTTAGCACAGCAAAAGAACATGTAGTAGTTGTACATGCATATAAAAAATTATGTAATAAATATAAAAAAGCACATTAATGTGAAAAATAACTAAAAGATCCAAGATGCACTTCCAACAGTATATCAATAGTTAAGGTTTATCCGTGATTTTGATCGAAAATATTGATTTTTCACGTTGAGAACCCCTATGAATAGCTCTTCTGACGAGACCTATTAGGTCGAAATACGTATCAAGAGATACATAGGATTTGTTTGCGTGAAATCAAATATTTGCTGCCTTTTCTCATTTTATTCGGATTTACTCTGTGTGAGTACTAGAAGCACAATTCGCTAAGGATTTCTGCTTAGTTGTAAAAGACATGTCGTGGAATGCAAATTTTAGATTCTCCATGTCTCTTTTAACATCTTTTATCAACGTCTGTTTGCCTTGCAATTTTTAGAAGGCTCAGATTATAAAGCAGAAATCTGAATTGTGTTTCGAAACTATTTTACGATTTTTGTAATTAGATGTCGCTATTGCGTCCGTATTGAAGCCATGTTATTGTTGCTTCTTAAAAGGCAGAAAATATTAATTTTTCACGTTGAGAACCCCTATGAATAGCTCTTCTGACGAGACCTATT